ACACACACACACACACACAACTTTAGCAAAGTGTGTCTATGTGCGTACAGTTATCACAAAAAGCTTTATGAAAATTGCAGCAACAACCTAAAACGCATTTGATTGTTGAGCTTTTATAGGCCGGCCAACACACAACTCAATGTGGGTCAAGGCCAAGCAAACACAGCTCTTCGGAGACGAAAACACGCCAATCAAATGAGAATCAAAGAAAAATTCTTGCAAATTTGACTAACAGGAAAATAGGCAGCCGTTTAATGAATCATTAAAACTCATTTATTCAGAACTGCTTTTTTCCGCTTTCGAAATTCGTTAGACAATAATGCTAATGAATCTGGAATTCCCCCCAAATACACACAAAAAAAACAAACAAACTTGTTTCTTAATGCAGCTAACACAAAAAAAAAGTACACTCAGATTCGAAAACCATCATCATCATAATGATTATCATATTCTTAGACTGTCATCTGCGCAATGCACAACGCAACCGCAACGAAATCTGAGTAAACCGGTATTTAAACACACTGAGAGAGAGGGACTTGTATTCTTATAGAGAGTGTGCGTGTGTGTGTGGTGTGTGTGTCAGTGGTAGAAATAGAAACAATGGCGCAACAACCAAAGCTACATAAAGCTTCGCGCGCACATAGAAGACAACAACACACACATAAAGTGTAAGAGAATATATTTGTCCGACCTTGAACTTGAACGAATGTTTCAAGTTGTTTTTGACATTGACTAACTCAACAACAACACCGGAGATAGAGCGAAAGAGAAAGAGATGCGTAGAGATATAGAGAGAGAGGGAGAGAGAACCCAAAGCTATGACTACTACGACATATAGCATCGATTTAACGAGCGACGCGAGCTTATAAATTATGAGAAAAACAAGCTTCAAGCGAAAAGGGCGAGAGGGACGACGACAGGTGTAAAGACAGAAGCAAAAAAAAAAGTAAGTGGTTTGACAAGAGACAAATGACGCACGCAAGAATTGCACAACATATAGTAAGAACCCATATTTAGGAGGGAATGGAGAGACAACTAACTTGAATTTCCAGACTTTTTCTTTAAATTCTTTTACTTGTAATTTTTTTCGTTGAATAACCTACAGAATTCATTTCAGAATATGGAAGAATTGCGCCTAATGACTAGCTTTGAAAAATACGTATGAATGCACAAAACAATGCCAGAACACATCATCATCATCATAATCATCATCAAAGATGAAATACAAATTTTCAAAAGCAAAACTGCAAAGGAAATCGTAAAACAAAAAGAAATTGTTTTGTTTGTGTTGTGGTTTTTTTGTTTCTTTTTTTTGTTTGTTTTTTTTTTTATTCTGTCTAGGAAAATTTGTTGTGGGATTTTTGTTGGCGGCGATTCATTGTTATAAACGGTAAAACAGAGATAATCGAAAAAAAAAATATTAAAAATTCGGTATTTGTTGGCAACGCTTCAAGCAATTTCTGTTTAAGATTTTTATCGAAAAAAAAAAAACACAAAAACAGAGACTCTCGATTGGTCAGAGCGTAATGCAAGGTAATTTGACGAAGAAAAAAAATTATAGTAATAATAAGAGATATGTAAATATATATATATATATACAATACATATATAAATGATTTAATGCGTACACACTTAATAATAATGCATCGTAAAGTAGAGATAAATGAAGTATGAATTATAAAGTTGTAGGTAAGTTTATAGTTTTATAGCTTACCCTTGCCGGCGGCGTTTATAAATGTAAGCAACATACAAGAAATTGCCTCAAATAGAGCTGATCAGCTTTATTTCTTTATCTGTTTTGCTACATTACCTGAAAGCAACACTGCAAATTCATGGTTTTTTTTTGGAGTGGGGAAGGCTGTATGAGGGATGATATCTTTTTTTTTTTGGTTTTCCTTTAGATGTAGTTGGGAGTTTTGGGCAGTTTTGGGATATCGGATTTTGGATTAGTTTTGGGTACAAAACAAAAACTGAACTTAAAATTTCAAAATTTATTTCATTTTGTGCGCACTTCGCCCAACCGATACCGTCGGGCGAAGCATACTTACCTGACCACTTACGCAAACAAAGAACAAACGGAGGAGAACAGCAACAGGCTGCAACCGCCAACTGTAGATGGCGCCCTCTGATGTCAAGTGCCAGCGCTGAAGCGACAACTGTACCTCGCCACCCACTGGATGGCTACGTGCTTCGTTGCAGGCGCGGCATTAACTTGAACGGGCGAATGAAGGGTGGTGGTGCTGCTGCTAGGACGGCGACGAACCATGTTGATCCTTGTTGAATGCTTTCTCTTCTGTTTTTTCACTGTTTCACTTGACTCGTAAAAGGTTTTTTTTTTTTTTTTTTTTGTAAGATACGCGCCGGCGTTGCATGCGAAACTGCACTCTCTTTGTGGTTGGTTATAATGCCACCAATGAGAGCGCGTCGCGTGCATTGTACAAACGAACGGTAAACGAACGGAGCGAGAAAAAGGTGAGCGCGAGCGAATGGCAATAAAAAGAAAACTTTTGCCAAACGACATGTGAACGGCGACGTGTGTTGGTCTTAGAAACTAGCATAAAATATAATGGATAACACAAATCAAAGTCAATAAAATGAAACAAAAAAGTCCCGTCAACCAAAATAAAGCAAAATCATATATACATATACATTATATACATATATTAATATTAATATATATATATATACATATATATGTGTATAAAATATATGGATAACTAATAATACATATATGTAGTACTAAAATTACAATTTAAAAACTGCATGCGTATTTTTTTTTATATTTATAGTTTAAGAAGAACAAAGAATAATCAAATTAAAATTGTGTAATAAAACATTAGCTCACGCTGATAGAAAGAGAGGGTGGGGGAAAAAGAGGGGAAGTTCTGAACGAAGACAAAAATCAACAGAGTGTGTTTCTGGCAATGATGATAATAAAATATGAGGCGTGAAGCAAATGAGAACATACAATGCCGAATGGTGCTGTTCGTGGGTGGTTGGTGATTGGGGAAGTGTGTGTGTAGTAATGTAGTAAGTGTAATGTTTGTGTGTGTTTGTTGTAGTATGTTGCATAATGGTTGTTTAACGAAAAACAAAATGTTATGCTAGAAAACTTGAATCTAATTTTATTTTTGAATTGGTTAAACTTGCTATAGAAGTGATTTACCAACAATAACACAACAAATCTTTTGACAGGACTCTGCAGCAGCACTCGAAACAAACACTACAGCTTTTGATGAGGAGAGTCAGAGAGAGAGAGAGAGCGAGAGGCAACCTTCTGCAAAAAGTGCACGCACCCAAATACATAGAAGGCACTTCACACTCACACACACACACAACAATAACTAAAATGACGAATGGGATGAGAGTCGATTTGATAACGGCAACTTTTGTTATCAAATCACACATACAAACACACACACAGGCACGCAAAGAAGCATAATTTAAAACTAACTTATACAACAAGAACACAATCAATGACAAAGCAGCTGCTGTGTGTGTGTGTGTGTGTTTGTGCGTGTATGTGTGTGTATGTGTGTGTATGAGTGGGAAGGAGGAGGAATGATGGCTGGGCGCACACTAAAGACTGGAGAGAAGAGTGTGCAATAATCAAAGTCTATTCGACTCGTCCTCTTCAACTCTCTTCGCAGCGAGTGAATGAGCGAAAGAGTAAGAGAAAGAAATTTTGTAGAGCAGCTTGCGGCTTATGTTAACTAAAAATAAGTTGAATAGTTTTTATGTTTGCATGTTTTTGTGTGTGTGTGTTGGTGTGGTTATGTGTGTGTTAAGTAAATAAAAATTACAAAATATATATACATAAAAAAACGTATTAAAAACCAAATGCGGCACAAAAAACACCAATACATAATAGAAACCAAATGATTACCACATAATAATAGTATTTATGTATAAGAAATATATAAATAAAAAATCATACATAGAACACATTTCATAAAGCGCAAATGAGAGTTGTTGATGGTAATCTGTGAGTAGTGAGGGATATTATTAACGTTAGTCATAGTGGGCGGAAGTGGGGGGCTTTGGAGGTAGTAGTAGCATATGTTTGTTGGTGGTGGTTTTTGGGTGGGTTTCTTTTTTATATGTGATTATGTGTTAAAAATTAAATTTAAGTAGTTTATTATATAATAAATACAATTATATATACAGAAAAAATAACTGGAGTTATACGAATTATGTGTGATCAAATCATAAACAAAATTGAGGTGTTAAGTTAGTAAATATATATATTTAAAAAAAAAAACTCAAAATAAATTAAATAGTAGTACTTTCAACTTGCACAAATTATTATTGTTTTTCTTTTTATTTTTTGGTAGTTAATTATTTTTGGCTGTATCATCGAGAGCGGAGCAAAACAAAAATACCAAAAAGAAAAATAACCAACGCCATTCAATTTTTGTTAATGCGAGAAACACTTCTCGTATCGCTGTATTCTGGTTTTTATTTATTTGTTTTTTTTTTTTTTAGTTTTTGTTTGCTGTGCCGCCGCTTCGAATTTTGTTTTCTTTCTTTCTTTTAGTAATTTTGCATTTTTTTCTTGTTGCTTGTTTTTTTCTTCTTTTTTTTTTGTTTTCTTTCTGTCTAACAAATAATTCCTTCTCAAACGTTTAAGAGCTTTTTTCGGAGCACGACTTTTTGCAGTTTATGATACATATCGTACATATATATATATATATGTATTTAGAAAAAGTTGTATGTTATGTTGTTTTTTATATTTTTGGGATTGTATCGAGAGAAAAAAATAACGAATAAATTTGTGAATTGAGAGAGTTGTGTGATCTTGAAATACTTGTCTAGTTGATATGTTTTTAATATAGGACCTTTTCTAATTTGCATTTGAAATTTTTAGCTGGTCGTCGTGCTCGGCTGTGGTCCTAACCATGTTTTTCTAAACTGTTTTTGCTTTTTCATTCGTATTATAATATATATATATAGTTTAACAACTATCTTTCCGATTATATAGTATGCATTGAAAAACTCACCTTGTGGATCCCGTTGCTGTGCATCCTGTGCGGCCATTAGTCCAAGTTCATCCTGAGATCTGTCGTGTTGCCATGTTGCATATGCTAAACAAATTGAAAATTTGGAATGAATAAATACAAATTAATTTCAAGTTATACACATATTTTATATTATCATTTATTTGATAGTCACCTTGACTAGATCCTTCGCCACCCTGACTGGTGCCGGCCGCTTGGTCCAGCTCCTCCATTGTCATTTCCTCGTCATCCAATGTCAAATCCTCAACATTCTCATCGTGCGCATCGTCATCGTATTCGGCCTTGGGCTCAATAACCATTTCACTTGACGTTATGCTATTATCTTTGATCTTGTGTTTATGATTCGACTTTTCGAGCGATGCCAATTGCTTAACGACACCAGTGTGAACGGCAATTGCACCGCCACCAGCTGCACCACCACCTGCACCACTTGCCACCACATCCATTTCCTCAGCAGACTCGCCTTGGGCGCCTTGATCCTGTTGCTGCTGCTGTTGTTGTTGTTGCTGTTGTTGTACATTGTCGGTGTTAATGGCATCGCTTGTGGTTTGTTGTTGCTGCTGCTGTTGTTGTTGGGCGCCCTGTTGTGCAGCTGTTGATGTTAGTTTAGCGCTTTCAGTCTTTTTGGTAACGTTACTGCTGCTGCTGCTGCTGGTCAATGGCTGGTTCGACGATACTTGATTTCCGCTGAGTCCGCTGCTGCTGCTGCTGCCGGCACAGGTTGCATTGCCGCCTGCAGACGCAGCCGCTGCTGCTGAACCACTGCCGCTGGCCAATTGAGTGCTGACCAGGGCGGAGGCGGCGAGGCCAGCGCTTGTCTGTTGGAGGATTGACTGATTGGAGGCGGCGGCGGCGACGGCTTGCAACACTGACGAATTGGAGTTGTCGTGCAAGTCTGTTGTTGTTGTGAATGAATATGTACAGAGGCAGGCAAATTATGAATTTTGTTAGATTACAATTTTCAATGCTCAATTTTAGTTTATAATTTATAAACAATTAAAGATCTCGATTCTCTCCACTTCACTTACCATTTTCCATGCTGCGGCGTCGCACTTTTCGACGACGACGCGACGGACTGGAGGAGCCTTCACGCGAGCCGGAAACATCACCGGCATCGATGCCAGCGCCACCAGGTGTAATGCGTGAACGCTTCGTCTGCTCCAGCGTGTATTGGCCGCTCAGTTTGACGCGATGATGTGTATCCGGTTTAGATTGCTGCTGCTGTTGTTGCTGCTGTTGTTGTTGGGCTGCAGCAGCTGCTGGACCGCCGCCACTGCGATTGTCGGATAAACCCTTGATCTGCAGCGATTCGGCAGCCTTGAGCAGCGCTGTCAGCTGATCCTGCGAGATGTTCACCTCGCCGCGATACATGTAGTCCATCATGGCGCGCAGCTCTTGGTACTTGACATCCTTGAGTATGAATATGGGATGCTTGTCGTACTGTTCTTGCAACAGTGTCTAAATAAATTGAATGCACAACATTAAAAAATATTCTCGACACCAAACACATATATGATATGTACACATTGTATATAATACTTACAGCAAAGTAGGGACTGCATGCTGACAGCACCACCTTGTGGGCCTTGAGAAATTTGCCCTCGGCGGCTAGCGTACAATCGACTAGTGTCTCATTTTCCAGCAACGTATCAAAGACGCTTATTAATGTGCTCTGATGGTTGTTCCACCTCAAACAAAACTGTTGATCGTCATCCATTTTTGGGAACCAGGTTTTGTTATTGTTAGTGTTGAAGGGGAAGGGGCGCGGCGAAGGGATGGAGGAAAAGCTTGCTTTTGCCGACCGTCGTCGTTTGACGTGGTGGCCGCCGCCGCTTTAGGGAGTTGTGCTCTCTGCCTGGCGCGTTTTTCTTTTTGCAGCTCTTGTGGGAAAATTCAGAGTAGAAGGCGACAGCTTAAATAAAGTCGTTGATTGTTTTTGTTGTAAAGCTTTTTAAGTTGGTATTTCTGCTCTTCTTCTTGCTGTTATCTTCTTTTTGCTTCCGTCAAATGCTTTTATGTTTGTCAATTAAAACTGCAAAGTGCAATGGAAAATACGAAATACATATAAATTAGTAATGTTGCCACAAATTCATCGCACGTGCACATCAACAGTATATTTATCAATAATAGTTTACACAAAGAAAACCACACACAAGAATGGCAATCAATTACTGGCTTTCATGCTTGGCGCCTCTGGCAACGCTCCAAGGTCAAGTTCATGTTTTATTTCAGCTACAACACAATATTTTCAACTCTCGCACATAAAAACACACGATCGAAGATTCAGCGAGATTATTATTATTATTGTCATTTGTATACATATGTGTGTACACACATATATTTATATAAATTATACATATGCAAATTACACAGCTCCACAAAAACATGTATGTTTTCAACATACAAAAGCGCCCTCTATGACGCCCAAAAACAACACTGCAAATGCAATTTTTTCTCTATTCTTTTTTTTGTTCTTTTTTCGTCGCTTGCTTTCAAATTCTATTATCTTTGCGCTTTTTCGTTGATTTGTTCATTTCTCAACTTCCCTCAATTCCAACAACGAAACTCGCCAACTCGCACCACTCTCACCACTCGGCAAAAAAAAAAAAAACCGAAAAGAGAGCAAGCGATAGCAACGAGAGCGCAAGTACAAATATACTCGGGGCTAACGGATTTTGTGGCGATGTTACAGTTGCTAGTAGTGTTGGAGATCGATGGAAACGATAAATATGACGACAACAGCGAGACGTTGCGACGTCGACGCGTCGCGTCAGCTAACGAGGCAGAAGCAGAGGCAGAGTATGAAACATAAAGAGGGGAAGTTTCGCAGCCGCAGTCGACGTTCGCGCCGTCATTACTGCATGCACTAATACATATATGCATGTACACACACATTACACATATGCGAGCGCGACAAATGTGTGTCTATGTATATATATGTACGTGTATATGTGTTTATGAGTTCGCAGTGAGGTTTTTTTCTAGTGAGTTTTTCGTCGTTGTGGAAAATTTCACAAGTATTTCACACACGCACACAGAGAGATGCGTTTATGATTTTCTGATAATTTTAAAGTTGAAACATGAAGCAATCGCTGCCAGTCAGTCACATAAATATTTGTTTGAGTGTGCGTCGTTTGTTTTATGGTACATTTAAAAATAGAATATTTTTCACTTGAAGCAACACTCAACACACACACTCAAACATGCACATATACACACAAAAATAGGGGAGACGGGACGACTCCACATCAAATTTATTTCACAATTTTGTTGGTTAATATTTTTTCAATTCACACTTGCAAACTTACTATATAAATTTCTCAATGCACAAGGAAAAGCGATTTTCGTTTTAGTTATGTTGGTTGTTGCTGCTGCTGCTAAATATATGTGTGCGTATATATATATGTGTATGTATGTAATTTTATTGGCCAGCAAACCGCACGCGTCGCGATCTACCGTGCACACACGAAAACCAAACAAAAGCTCCAAGCGCACGAAAGCAACTGAAACGACGTAAATGTGCTGGCAACGGAGAGACCCTTTTTCATTTTCGCCGCGACGCTCCGCTCCGACGACGTTCGCTCGCTCACTTGCCCACTCACTCACTCACTTCTCTCGACGCGTTCGTTTTGGCATGCTCGTTCGCTCCCTCGCACACACATCAAAATGGCCGCCCAGTGCGAAGTTGCTGAGAGAGAGCAAGCGAGCGGAGTGAGTGTCAAAGTATGTGTGAGAGAGCAGTGAGCCTCACATATTTTATTTGGGGGCACGCTTTGAAAATGCCAAGTAGGCAGACGGGCAGGCAAGCAGGTAAGCGAAAAGGAGCCTTATTAAATGTATTGCAGTGAGCGACGTTATAAAGAGCAGAGCATAAATATAACGGGAATATATTTCAAGAATATACACAACACATACACATTCAGGTAAACGAACACAAATTGAATTCGCCGTGAGAGCCAGCAAAAGCGAAAGAGAGAGAGAAAACGTGGCAGAGTTTTTTGGAGTCTGACGATGATGGTCGGTCACATTTTCATTTTTCAAAATGGAAGCGAAAATTATACGAAAATAAAACGGAGAAAAGACTTGGGCCTCATTGTGCATGGAAATTTCAATAAAAAGAAAAGGGGAGCGCATCTGCTTGCATTCTTTTTTGGTCCTGCTGTGGTTGTTGTTGTTCTTGCAGTTCTTTTTGTGCGTCCGTTTCCTGCCGTAATTTAATCATCTGTATAAAAAAGAAGTGGAAAGCAGTTGTTGCGGCAACAAGCAACGACAGCTGCAGCACGCTCGCACGCTCGTTCGCTCGATTTTACGACATAGAGAAGTTCTTTAGAAAACCTAACAGTGCCCATGCACAATTCTCTTAGACAGGGATAGCAACATGTGCGCTACGTGACGCACAACAGACGACGACTTAGTGCTGCCTGCCTTCGGCTTTTCGCTTCGGGCTCCCTTTCACTCGAGTAGCTTGTTGTTGCTATTTTTTTTCGCCAGGAAAAAAATGGAAGCAGCAGATCAATATAAAATATAATGGCGAAAAACACATGCTGCTGCTGCGGCTGTTGTAGTTGTCTAGCAAGGGACAAAGAGAGAGAGCAAGAGAGCAGAAATAAAGGGCACCGTTAGGCGGCGGCGACTATTACGTTGTGTGTGAGGGATCAGTTTTTTCTATTTACAAGCATGCATACATACACATATATGTATGCATTATGCGTGTGTGTGAGGCCTTTATACATAAGGTACGAAGCATGCGCAGTGGCGCCATCTGTTTGTAGTTATTGAAACTCTTACTCCAACTGACGGCGGCGGCGGCGGCGTTGATGAGTTGATGATGCATTGGCTAGACAATGTCGACGCGGCTAAAGCTGAGGGTTTTTCCTTTGCACACGCACGCACATATACACATGCACACACACAGCAACAAATCAGCAAAACAAAACAGAATCCCAAAGAGGGGTTTTATTATATGCGCTTTGTAGTTGTTATTGTAGTTAAGCAGCAGCAGTCGGCTGTCACAAACATACACACACACAAATGCACACAGGCACAGACAACAGCAGACGAGGTAGGTAAAAACGGGCGGGTTGCAGCGAAAAAGGATCTCTCTTTTGCTCTCCTCCGTTATCCGCACTACGCTCCGTGTTCTCCCTTCGCTGCCTTTCCTCTTTCCCAACTCATTCGTGACGCACGCTCTTTGCACATACAAGGTTTTATTTTTGCGCAGATGGTGGAGGATTATAATGAAAAATTGGGATCCTTTTTTCCCAACGCAGGCAGAGAGCAATAATGTTGTTGTTGTTGTTGTTGCTGCTGAGCGAGTTTTGTGTGTGTGGAAAAAAGTACAGTTGGACCCCACAAGAAAAATGTTTTAGATGACGCGCTTTCCCCCCTCGTTAAGTTGAGTGGAGGTGGTGGCAGGGGCAGGGCGAGGGGGTCTGCTGCTTCAACGGATGTAGCCAGATAAAAACATTGATTGTGATTGTGATGCAATGAGCGAAGAATGAGTAATATTAATGTCTTGTGTTGTTGTTGTTCTTGCTGTGTTGAGGTCTACTATCAAACTACGTCAAAAAGGAAACAACAATTTGTTTACCGTTGAACGTTGTTAGCGAAAATCTCAACTTTTTGTTTTACTTTAGCAAATTTGCATTTTAAATGCGACGAAATTGCTGTTTTTCCGTCTCATCTTCGTTTAATGTGCAATTGCCCAATGATAATGATGATAATGATATAGGTGCTAAATGATTATTATAATGTATTGGGATCTACTATCAAACGACGTCCAAAATTTTTCAAATATGCGGTACGCTGTTAGCGAAAAACCCAACTTGACATTTTATTCTAGCAGCTGCCGTTATTTAGAATGTTGACATGTGGATCAAGAAAATCCCCCAACACTTTTTTTATTGGCAATTGCGTATTTAATTTTAAAATGGAATAAATAATAATATAGTACACAATTAAGAAAATATTCGATGAAAACTAACTTAAGATCAAAATATTATCTATTTATTTCCTCACTTAGATTAGCTATGCTTTCTTGTGGAGAGATCTACTATCAAACGTAGCGCTATTCAATTATCACGCAATGTTAGCGAAAAACTCTCCCATCAAAAATGATATTGTTTTGGGCATTTGATAAAAATCGCAGTTGAGCGGCACAGAACTCATTAAATCAGGGATTCAAATGCCAACAACTTGAATGCCGTGTATTAAAAAAAAAAACATTAAATAATAAAAGGTTCCATACTCTAAGCACGCGCCAGACGGTGGCAGTCAACCACGTCCCTGGTCTCACAGGAGTCCAAAGCAACCCCGACAACTGGTTAGGCCAGTAAGGGAGGAGAGGAGAGGGGTGAGAGAACAACAGGAAGGAGAGACTTTGGGGGTTGCAAGAGTGTAAGTGTGTTGATCCCCCAACCCTCCCTGCCTCTCTCATCATTTGCCACTACCAAAGGGGATCAGCCACTTTTACGACCCTTTGTGTTGCCACCACAAGATGTGGATTTTAAGGAGGAGAACAACTCCAGGAAAAACCAAGCCAAACGAATAATGAGTAAAGAAAATTCAGTTGGGGCTAAGCTAAATTATAAAAATCTGTTTTGCTCTTTTCTTCGTCTCATTTTTTTATTTTAACTGCTGCTGCTGTGTTCGTTTTCTTTTCTTTTTTTCTGGTTGTTCTTGTTCTGGGGTTCTGTATTAAAAAGTCAAAAGAAAAACCGGTTTCGAAACATATACAAGAACTGTGCCATTTCGAAAAACGGGCGGCAATTCTCGAGAGTTGGCAGAAAAACCAGTTTAAAGAAAAATAAACACAAACACACATATTATATATATAAGAATGTATATTTGTATTTGTACATAGGCAGAAAAACCGACAAGAGCGACAAGACGACTGAAAAACAAATTTAAAATGGAAATAACTTGAAAAAAAAAATAAATTTAAAAAAAATTCTTGCTAAAATAAAATAAAAGTTCCCCCCACAAGATTTGCATAAAGTGGAATTTATCTTGTCGCGCTCACCAAGCTGAGCAGCACACACACACACGCACACACACACAGAGGGGCATATAGAGCTGCAAATACATACATAAAATTTGTATATTTACGACGTAAAAATAAACGTCGCCGACGTTCGCCTGGCACTGACTTTCAACAATTTAATTTCTGACAGCTCTAAACCAACAATAAAAAACAACAACAACAACAGCTGAGGGATGAGGAGACAATGGAGGAGGTGGCGGGTGCGCAGGCAGCACTTTTGAAGCATTCGCAACACAGTCTTAAAAAAGAGAGAGAAAAAAGCCAAAGACATCGCTTTAAGAACGTAGGCGTCCTCGTCGCTGATTTCGACGTCTGCCGCTATTTTGATGCCCTTGGTGTGCAATAAAAGGGTATTCCAATTTTATGGTGAAATTTGTAGCGCATCCTATAATATATATATGCTTGATCAGCATCACTCGTCTTTCTGTTTCTCTATGCGAACCCCCATCTATATATATTCCTCTATACTTTACCTAAATGGAAAATGAATTTTCATTACACATAATAATAAAAACAAATAAAACAACTTTGATTCTCATCCAAGCTCTTCTATCATCGATTCTAGTGGATAATCGGTGCATTATCTAATAAATACCACCTCATCTGCAAGTGCAGCAAAAATGATTTAATCTGTAATCAATTCCCAGATACGATTATCATATTTAGTGTTTAGGTTTAGTCAGCTGCTGTTTTATAGATTAGTTTCATAGTCGGCGCCGTTTATTTTTCAATTCTTTTCTGCTTTTCTGCGTTATTATTCAAAGGCAGAAAATGTCGTTTTTGCCATTAAAAGCCGCCGACAGCAGAGAAAAACTCGAAAACTCGTTTTTTTTTCAACAAGCTATTTAAAGTGAATGTTAAGGGCTTGTTTTTTGTGGCTTTGAACACACAGACAAAGAGACACACACATACAAACAAACAAACAAACACACACAGACAGCCACATGTTCGAGTAAAGGGCGTCTATTTCTATCTCTGTCTGTCTCGCCTTTTAAGAAGTTGCTTGAAAATTCAAGCAGTCAAATGGCAAAATGATCAACTAGGAAGGGTGGGAGGGAGGGGAATATCTTTTATCTATCATGGAGCTGCCTGTCTCTGTCTGTCTTTCGCTGAATTTGGCCTGGGGCCGATATTCGAAACTCGTTGATGCGAATGATGATGATGACGTCTGTCTCTGTATGTTTCCCACTCTCTGCAGCAGCTTCACCCTCTTTTATTTTTTGCGATTTTTGGACATGTTGTAACTTGAAAATGTGGTCACGCCGAATTTATAAAAGGTGTGTCTCATTTTTTTTTCTTTTTTTTTGTGACAGGTGATGTTTTGCGCCGCTTTAAATGAATTTGAATAAATATATATGTGAATCTGAGTGAATGTGAATACTGGGAAGTGGAAGAAAAGATCTAAAAATTAACTGTGTAAATGTAAGAGATATATTTTCTTTTATTTTCTTTAGTATCTATAATTGTTTGCAATTGATTTTTCTTTGCTCACATCAAAATAGAACTAGTACTTCAATATTCCAGAATCTTCCATTTGAAGTAAAATTGTGGATTGTTGTATTTCATTTTCTTGTTCATTTTCTTGTTCTTGTTTTTTTTGTTTAACTTACAATGTCAGTAGGCCTCGTGAAAGTGAAATTGCGAAGCGACTAAATTAAGCCAAAAATAATCAACGAGCAAACAAAAAAAAAAGTTCAATGAACTTGTTACCCATTGGCACCACTGGCAAAAATAATAACGATTAACGATAGAGACAAGAAACTACTACAAAAAATAATACAATATGAACAAAGAGCAGCCAACGATAACGGCCTACAAAAGTCATGCATTTTTTTTGCACGTTTTTTTATATTTTTGTTTACTATAGCAAAAATAATAATAGTACATAACGTGAACCTGTGTTGTAGTAGTAGTAGGGCAAAGAATTTAAAGCACGCGACAATAAACGCGTAGGTCAGTGTAGAAAGTGAAGAACACGAATAATAATAATAATAACAAATTGCAAGGTCGTTAAGTTGAAGACGTGGGTGTTTCATTTTGATGACAGACACACACTCCGAAGAAGCCAACGAATAAAGCGACGTACACACACACGTACGTATATATATATTGTATATAGTTCAGAAAAAAATAAACATTATGTTAAAGCAATGTTAAAAAACAAAATAAAAATAAATTACCCAAACAAATCAAGTACTAAGTAATGATACTTAAGGTGTTTTTTCGTTTTCTTTTTCGTTTTCTTCTTTTATTTTGCACTTGTTGCGCGAAAGCTTTTATTTTTTTTTTTGCTTCTGTGCGTGCTTGCTCATTATTATTGTTGTTATTATTATACTTTTGTTATTCTGCACATGTGCGTAGAATGTAAACAAATGAAACTTTTAAGCTGCCTGACAAAAAAAAATATAAAGAAAAAGAAAAAAGTTCAGCGCGTCGCCTTGCAGTGAAATTTGGCAACGTTGCGACGTGTCCCACAGCAGAGCATCGAACATATATTAAACATGGCGTGCACACATAAAGTGAAAGATTATAAAAGCGACAAAGCGAAATATGCGTTTGTGTGCGCTGTGCGCGAGCGGCAAAACAGGCCGAAAATATGAAAAATGAAAATGTAAACGTGTCTGTGGAGCACGTACATATATATGTATGTACATATGTAAATACAGCAACAGCAACAACAAGAAGTATATCAACAACGTCGACATCGAAGTAGAAGTGTAGCACAAAGTGGAAACAAAAATATGTGGCGGGTGGTCGTCGGTCGGTCGGTCGACAGGCAACAGCAAAAGCAGCAAACGAAAAGCTACAAAAGAGAGCATACGAAGCGCCAAAGCGCCTGTGTGTGCGAGTGTGAGTGAAAAGTGCAGAGAGAAAATTTCACGATTTTTTTTTGTCTTGAACAAACATAAAACGAAAAGCAAAACGAAGTCAGCAGCAGCCGAGGCCAATATGTGAGAGGGAGTAAAAAGAGAGCGGCGTTGCCAGCCCGCCACAGTAGGATTGAAAAACATTTTATAATGTTGTTGTTGCTGCTGCTGCTGCTAATGGCGCTGCCACGGTTGTTTCGACTGGGTTGCCCATAGGGGGGAAAACCAAGATGGCGGCTGTACATAGAGCTCAAAACAGCGACACATTTTTTTTTGTTGACAGCGTGCTTTCCAAAAATGTATATTTTTTTCATACATACATAATAAGTACACGTTGTGTTCCATCCTTGCATTGAAAAGTGCGCTTCGGAAGCTTATGCTGCTGCTGCGCATATAAAATTCAGAAATTGGAGGAAAAAAAGCTTATGTAACGAGCGACAGACGTCGTCGTACTCACTCTTTCACACTTGCTAGTAGCGGACGACGACGGACTGCATAAAAATGGAGAGAATGAACAATTTTTCACAGCGACACTTGACCTCATTTGCATGTGTGTGTTCATTAAATTAATGAAAATTGCTCGTCATTACTTCAAATTGCATACACACTAATTTGTGTATGTGTGTGTTAGTTGTTTGCTGTTGCACTGAAAAGCTTTGCAAATGCATTGCAGAAAAGCTTTCACAAAACGCATGAAAAATCGATATGAAAGTGAGGCGCTCTCAAGCAGCACACACACAAACACACTACACACACGCGTGCGAATAAACGTTGGAAATATTGATTTTATATGCAAAAACTCGCAGCAAGAGAGCCAGAGTGAGAGAGACAAATCATCGCACAAATTAGAAAGTACAGTTCTAAGTCTATTTTAAAGTATATACATATAGATTTAATGCATTTTAGTTGCTTGTTTTTAAGGTATACACACCGAAATAGAATCACAGGCAGCACATAGTCGTCGAGTCGGTTTGATTAAATTAATTTTTTCTTTTTTTTATTTTGAATAGCTTTGCACATTATGTTAATAATACACACACACACATAGAGAGACGCACGATTTTGTATATTTGTAAAAGCGCGCGGGAGAAAAAAGCAATAAAATTGAATTTATTTTTTCTTATTAAAAAGCCAAGTTTTTCAGTTGTGTGTATATGTATGTATGTATGTATGGATAGTTTTCCTGCTGCTGCGGAGTAGCAGCCCGCACAACAAAATGCGAAACGCGCGGAGCCACTGAAGAAAAACTGACGACTGACGAGCGCGCACGAAAAGTTTTCTGGTCTAGCCACCACGCTACCGAACGAAGTTCCGAACGAAAGAGAGAGCGAGCGAGTGTGAGTTCGAAAATGTTACCCAGTCGCGCCATATGCATGACATTTCCACTGCCCTTTTCATTGCTTTTTCGTACAAAACACCAATACTAAATTCTCAATTTGATAGATATGACAAAAATTTATATTATTGTTAGTGTTATTCTAAGTAAATTCATTTTTAAAGATTTTGTTGAAGTTTAACTAGAATTTATTATATTTTGTATTTACATACTTTTAAGCTTCGCACAGTTAGCAACTGGGTAACTTTGGCGTTCATGTACATAATATGGTTGCGTGTGCACTTGTGTGAGTGTGTGTGCTTTGTATGCTTGGCGCGCGCGCAGAGTTGCCAACACCAATATGAAAATCTCAGCGACGCATGCAAATCAAAAGATTATTTCTTGTGCTTGATAAAAAAAAGCATGCTTGGCAGCATTAATTAGCAGCCTTAGCTTAATTGAAGCAACTTTGCACTGCTAGCGCCGTAGCTACTAGTATAAATATACTTACGAGCATACATAGATATGTCCATGTATGTATTTGACGAGCTGACAACTCTGTCTATGTAGTGGAGTTCAAAAATATCATTCGTATGGTAGTTTGTTGCTGTTGCTGTTGTTGGTGTTTTTGTTATTGCTAACAGAGCTGCTCGCTCATGTAGGGGGCGAAATTTTGTGTTTGAGTTTTTTGTTTTTCGCCAAGGCGAAGCCATAATGTTTACAATAACAACAAATGCCGTTGCTGAGCGGGCTCTCTTTTTTGCTCTCCCTCTCTCTGCTTCCTTTTGCTATGGATAACGATTGCGTGTGTATGTGTGTGAAGGGGAAGACACAGCATGTAAAATATATGCATTGCATTTTGTACTTAAAAAGTGCAAATTATTTTACGTGTGTGCGATGATGTTTTTTTTTAATGATCGCTCACACACACAGTGCTGATTTATTTTAGGTTCCAGCATGACTTCATCGGAAAACATTTTCGTGCTCCCTTCTAACCGCCCCCATACCTTTTCTGAATATATACGTGTGTGTGTGTGTAATTATGTACTTCAATTTTAACGGTGCCGCGCGTATGCCTTATGTATTCGTAATTAACGCTTTTATGTGAAATTCTACACGCTTGATTGAAAAGCTCTAAGCGATTCTAATTGACAAAAATAGGAGACAGTTCCAGTGAACATTTTGCAGCAATATTTTTTTAAAATTTGACGATCACTTTTTTTGCAAGGACAAGGACAAAGACACTAATATACATGTGAATGTATGTGTGTATATGTGCAATGTACATATATGTATGTACTTGCAGACATTGCGTACCATCACGTCTCGCATAATAATGAACTCACCTGCATTCAATGTAAAAGCTCTCTCGCTCTCTCTCTCTCTCTTAGTTAATCAGCAAAAAACTTCAAGTCGGTCACGTACATAGAAGCTTTTTCCCTTACATTTTACATTTTGCCTTTTTTGTTACCTTTGACAAGCGACGGCGGTTTCGGCTTCAACTGCACTGTCACCAACAAACCTAGGCCAGCTGCAATGGCAGCTGCGTCACACACACACACACACACACACAAGCGTGCGATTGCACGAGAAACAAACACAGAAGAGACAAGTGAAAATCAAACACTGACAATTATCTACTTACAAACACAAGCGTAAAAACGTACATATTTATGTTATTTGCTCGTTGCTTTTTTTAAAATTATAATAAATTATATTTGAAGTGATACCTGTGGGCCATAAACCAAATCGAATGACTTTTGTGTTTGTCGCTATTTGGCATTATTCTTCAAGCTCACTTTATTATTGTTTTCATTTCTTTTTCTTTTTTTTTGCTTTATGTAAGCAAGTAATAAAATGTTTTATGATTATATTTTGTTGTTGTTGCTTCGTTTGGGGTGGGGGCAATTGCTTACGTTACGTTGCGTTACGCTATGTGTACGAAAAAAGAGCACTAGCGACAAATGCGTTATTCCTGAGAGTTCCGTTTGTTACTGCAATGACAAAATCTGCGATGGCGAGTGCGAAGCCAATGTCAGCAAAAAAACAAAGAGAACAAGAGTCGAAAAGCCACACAAAACCCTAACACACTAAAGCACAGCATATGCACACATGTATACATACATACATATGCAGCGACGCTAAATATTGTTGGTGATTTTGTTGTTCTCAAAATGCAAGCGAAATACGAAGATCGCTCGTGAGTGGAGGCGCTGACTGTTTGCCTTGTGTGTACCTTTTTTGCATATTTGTGTGCGAAAGAGTGTGTGAGAGAGAGAGAAGGCAGCGACAGTTGCTTATTTTGTTTCTTCTTTTTTGCTTGGAGAAGGGAATGTGGAAGTGCTGCTAATGGGAAAAGCAAAGAAAAATTTGAGTTAAGTGTGTGTGCATTCTCATATATACGCTTGTGTATATGTGTGTGCATATTATTTATGTATTACGGAAACATAAACTAAAGCGGACAGAAACTGAGAACAGTTTCAGTTTTGATCCTAATCTGCAAATAAATGTTATGAGTCGAAACCAAGACAAGGTTATCGATGATTATCGATTCATATGTAATTTTTTTCGTTTAAGTACAACACAAAAAAAGTATGATTGTTTTTTACAATTTTGTATAAATCCTTTATTGTCTCTATGAATTATGACTTTTGCATTAAGATTTGCATTTTAATAATAGACATACATGACATGTATATCAAAAGACGCATTCTAATGTTAATAAACAAATAAAGTAAATTATTAAATACTGACAAAATAGTCTTTCTTGCATCTTTCTTCATTAATCAAACCATTAACATTAATCTGAACAATACAAAAATTCCATTGTGGAGGTGTAGAGAAATTAAGAGTTCATATATACATATGTATGTATGTTTGTATGTATGTACATATAACTGTGTATATGCAACTGCTTATCATATGAATTTTGGTGTTTTTTTTCTTCAACACTTGCGACTTTCTAATGGATCGTCTGTACAAGCATACACACACACACACACATGCAAATCTACCTCGTATAAATCTTTCCTCTTTTTTCTGGAATTCGTTTTTTTCCATTTCTTTTTTTTTGCATTAACAATTGTTAAAACTTGATTTTGATGCTTCTTAAAAATAAATGATCACTTGCTTAAAAGCAGCAGCAAGAGGAGGAGAAGAGAGGAAAACAAAAAGCGCAAAAGCAACAACAAAATGACTACAACAACAACAAGCTTCAAATGGTAACCATAATTGCGTTGAGCTTCTAAAAGTTGTGTACATTATTAGCAACTGCTCAGCTGCCTGATGCTGCCTCTGCTGACGTCGCCGTCGTTGTCGCTATCTCAACTTCTGCTGTTCCAGCGCACCGCCCGCGCAGAGCGAGGTTTTGAGATTTGGCGCGGCTTAAAAATAAAAAGAAAAAAAAAAGCTGTGCTGCAAGAAATTAACAACAATAAAAGTTGAAAATTGTTCGCCATGACAAAGAAAATAATCGTTAAGCTCGAGTTTTGCGGTCTGGAGGCGAAGACAGTCAGTCAGTCAAAACTCGTTTTTGCCTTCGCTTTGATTTGTTGTTATTGTTTGGTATTTTCTGTTTTTTTTTTCTTCTTTTTTCGGCAACACTTTTTCGGTTGTCCATTCAGCCTGGCAAAGTGAAAATTGTCTGCCGCGCCCGCTGCAACAACAACAACAAAGATAAAAACAACGAGAATAGTAATAGCGAATAGTTCAAAATTGACAAGCTTCGCTTAATGTTACACCTTGATTCATTTTTCAATGAACATTTTCGATATGATTCACCTGCTGCTGTCCCAATGATGCGTGCGTGGGAGTGGGATGGCTATGCAAACATGGATCGCTATGCACATACATACATACATACATTTATACATAGATATGTATGTATTTGTATTGGTGCATGTTTTCTGTGATTTTGCCTGTTGCTGGTTTTATTCTTGAAACTTCGCTGGGTTTTTACGCCGTTGCTGGTCGCTTCTTCGTTGGTTTCGGCGCACACAGCTGTTCCATAAAAATTCCTTAACGTTTAATTTTAGCAACAGCAATTGCACGAGAGGGAAAAATGTCAGAAAGAAAAAAAAGTTTATTTTTATTATTGTGCAAACTCATTTACATGCACACACATGCAAAAGAAAAATGAAACAAAAACAAGAGCAGCATCGCAGCGCAAAAGGAAGCAGCCAAACTTTAAGAGAGTGAGAGAGAGAAAGAGAGAGAGCGAGAGAGAGGTAGAGCACACGCCAGAATGGCATGTGTGGGAGGGGAACGTCAACTCTACGCTCGGCTATGTTTAACCTTGAAGTCATCTTTTTCTCGTGTTTGTTCTGTGTATTCACGCGTTCGCTGTCGCTGCAGCACATGCATACAAATGTGTACATTTTTGAAATGCAAAAAGTCCAACGGCAACATGGCTACGTTTCTATGCATGTGCCCAGCAGAGCAGATGTACACACACACACACAACAAACATACATGCATATATACAAAGTTGGGCTCCCTCCATCGCATCATTTTCCGTTTCTCGTTCTCTCTTCGTTCTACATTAATCTGTTTTTCATGTGTGTGTGTGTGTGTGTTGAGTTTTTATTCTCTTTTATTTTATTTTATTTGTTTTTTTTTTTTGCATTTCATGTTCATTTCCTTTTGTCAATTGAATTTAATGGAGTTGCGCGGCGGCGGCGGCTGGGCCTGAAAATGGGCGTCTGCGCCAAGGGTAGAATTGATCGATCAACTTGATCAGAGAGCATGCAAACGGGGCCTTAGGGGTTGCTCCGGTTCACCGTTCATTCGCTCAGTCGTTCGTTTCGTTGGCCACAAACCGAAACGGAGGGAGCATCTGTTGTTCTGTTTTGTGCTCGGCAGCTGTTCTGTTCCATGTTCTGTGCTGTGCCCTCCTCTGGGGGTAGGAAAAACCCTAAGGTGGCCGCCAGTGCCGCCA